TGCAGGGATGTGCCCATGTGAACAGAGCCCTATGGAGCTGAGTCTGGACAAGAGGTGCTCAAGGCACCCACTGGACAGCCCAGTGGCGTGAGCACTGGACACCTGGCTTGCAGAGCTGGGGTCAGCAGCCTCGGGGCCGGGGCGGGCAGGCAAACAAAGAGGAGCACGAGGACCGAGGCAGGAAGGGGCGGGGAGACCCAGCAACGCAGGCTGAAGAGCAGCCTCCCGTCACCTGGGAGGACAAGGAACGTGCAGGGGACAGAAAGCCGAGTGGAGTAACAGCATTTCCAGGAGAAAGGAGAGCTAAGACGAGGACTACGAGTCACAGCCAACATGGCACCAGCACCCTGGTAGTTGTGGAGGCGGGAGTGAGCTCAAAGCCTCACCTTTGAGCAAGGCTGTATAGATAAACTGGTCATAACATGTCATTAACGTACCGCCCTGGATCAAAAACTCACACAACTGTGCTTTGACCTCTAACGGGAGGGAAGGAGCTTTCTGAGAGACTGTTCCCAAGTTATAATCCTCAATCAGGCTCGATGAAAATTTTCTACTTCTTTCTTGGATCAACTGATTGTTTTTTTGTGAACACTTCCTTTCCTTACTCTTTTACTTGTTCTTTCATTCTGTTGAGAAAAATAAGAGTACTTTCCTATGCTGATAGCAGTGAGCCAGCTGATTCTGTGAGAGAGGTGGCAACCCAGCTGGAGCTCTGTCCTGCAGTCAGGGAGAAGGGACGCGGGCTGCTGCACCGGCGAGGGCCAACCGTAGCCTCGGTCCAGCGGCGGGACAGCCAGGCACAGCGTACGCAGAAGAGGCAGTGCACGCAGGGATAACCCAGGCGAGGGGCCAGAGTTCTGCCACAAGAGCTTCTGTTTTCTTGACAAAACAGGAAGCAAAGTATCAGCTGAGAGTGACCGTGAAGAAGGTCTGAGAGAAGAGAAGACATAGCAGTCGTCTGGAGACTGGTCAGACAGAAGAGAGAGGTCAGGCGGCCACAGTCAGCGGGGAACGGCCATGAGGGCAGAGGACACGCAGAGCGGGCTGGACCGAGGCGCAGTGAGTGTGAAGGGGCCTGAGAGGGCACAGGGGCACTGGCTCTGATGACAGCCTGGCACTAGCGTGACTGTGATGAGGCCTGGGGACGACGGGAACGTGGGGGGAAGCGGCGGTGCTGAGAAGTCACGAGGGTAAATACACGGCACGTGTGAAAAGTGTCAACACTGGGTAACTGTGGGGAGTGAGCCGGAGAAGCCAGGGCTGGGCAACAGGTGCTGGGCTCACGACGAAGCCCAGGCACCAAGCCGCTGAGCGGGCGATTAGGAGGGAGCGCTCAGGGGCTTCCCAGAGGTGGGGCTCCGAAACCACCGAGGACCGCAGGTGCGTGGAGAGGAGGCTCATCAAAGAGCAGACGGCGCCATGTCCCCCCACAGGGAGCAGGCCTCGCCTGGGAGGGGAGGGTGACTGGGGAGAGAGAAGCGGCCAGTCAGGTCAGGGCCTGCAGACAGACTAGCGCCTGACACAGAGCAAGGGCAGCCCAGGCAGGCTCCAGGAGCAGTGCCGGCAGGTGAGTGGCAAGCAGGACCCCGCTGGGGGCCGCTGGGGAGCCCAGAGTCCTCAGGACAGGGAGGCCGAGCACTGCGGTCCTGCCGCCAGGTCCATGCCCCGCCCCAGTGCTGGCGCAGGGCATCCGGGTGGAGCGGACAGTGGGAACCAGGGGCAGAAACGGGCCCAAGGAGATGAGCGGATCAGAGCCTGAGATCACAGGACAGCCCCTGCCCCCCAGCCGGACCAGAAAGAGGCCAAGGGCAAAAGGCACCCTTGCTCCTGCCCTCTCCAGTGCCGGGACTGCATGGGCTCCCTCCCACTCCAAAAACGCACACAACGCCTTCCTCCACTTCTTGTCAGGTCCTTCAGCACTGGACGCAGCCTTCAGGCAGTCTCACCATGTCTCTCCCTCTTTCAGTTAAGTAGCCCACAGTCTCAAGACTCGGGTTCTAAATTCACAGGCACGCTGTCTGGTGCTTAGAGAAAGCAGCGTGGTGAAGGGAGGAGAGAATGGGGCAGGCTGGCAGCAGGACGGCTTCTCTGTAATAGTGCACAGTTAGCTTTACTCTGTTACTGTCTGTTAAGAAATAACAACACTATTAACAAGCACAAAACCTCTAGCACCAAGGATCAACGAGGAGCAGTGGAGAAGTCACGGGCAGGCAGTGCATCACAGAGCTGTGCTGATGACCTAAACACCAGCATGGAGGCCGAGCTCAGGCAGGTAGCGACTACCACAACAAGTCATCTTATCTTCCAGGACAAAATAGTGTTATTCCCACACTTAAGTCCCTTTTGATATCAAGTATCATGTTTTATCAGGTAGTCGTAAAGCTGGGATCAGAGCAAACCACGCAGATGTCCCCAAGCTACACACCATGCCCGTCACAGCCCACAAGCACCAAGAAAGCACAGCCAGCAAGCTCTCAGCAAACACCACCACAAGTTCTGGGGTGGGTCACCGCTGTAAGCTGTAGTTTTTAAAATCTTCTACTCTATCCTGAAATTCTTTTTAATAGCCCAGAGTAAAAACTTAAACTTCACTTTGTAAAAATAATTTAAAATATATGATAATTATTACAACAAAATATATGTGACAGAGTGCAACATTAAATATATTCCACGGGGTGACTGCCGTCACTAACCTCCTAGTGGTACACGTGTGCTCAGTCACGTCTGACTCTGCAACCCTTTGGACTGTCACCCACAGGCTCCTCTGTCCACGGGATTCTCCAGGCAAGAACACTGGAGTGGGTTGCCATTTCCTCCTCCAGGGGATCTTCCCAACCCAAGGATCAAACCCACACCTCCTGTGTCTCCTACAGTGCAGGCAGATTCTTTACCCGCTGAGCCACTGGGAAAGCCCTGCTAACCTCCTATGATCTACATTTTCTTAAACAGCAAATTACAAAGTAGGGTTTTGTTCCATCTTGGCTTTTCTTCCTTCTGCACAACTGACAAATATACTTACTGAAGCTCGTAACTCTTAATCTGTATTAATCAAAATGTCCATTTTGCTTCAGAACCCTCTATATTCCACCTTTAACAGTCCACAGTGCTAACCAGCAGCAAAGAGCAAAGCCACAGCTTTATCCCAACACATTCCAACACACAGTCTCACTGGAAAGATTCTTAATGACCACCGACAGTCCAAAGTAGTGCATGGCCTCCCGAAATGGCAGAAAATAAAAGTACACTTAGCATTGGCAATCATGTCATCTTTTTTAAAGTACACTTAGCATTGGCAATCATGTCATCTTTTTTAAGTCTTTACTGAATTTGTTACAATATTGCTTGTTTTACCTTTTGGGTTTCTGCCTGCAAGGAAGATGGGATCTTAGTTCCCCGACCAGGGATCAAACCTGCGTCCCCTGCATTGGAAGGCAAAGGACTGCCAGGAAGTCACAGATCATATCATTCTCAATCCCCTGCAAGCTACACCATTACTGAGTTAGCTGGATGTCCTGTTTACTTTGGCTTTGCCTCACTGTACACTACCTTAAACTCCTGGCAAGTGTTTCCTTTTCCATTTCCTTAGCTGTAATGGAGCCACTTTTTATTTGAGGAGCTAAGGATCTAGAGACATTCTGGAGAGACTTTTTTTCCTCCACTGTTAAAGACAAAGTGAGAAAAGCCTACATTTTGGGGTTTCTTTTGATTAGCCTTATTTCAAATTCTTTAATTCACAGAGCAATGTATTTTACCCTTCCTAGATCTGAGCCTCCTGACTGTAAGACAGACATGATATTGTATATAAGCTGAGACATAACCCCACACTGCAGGGGGCAGCTAGACATGGATTCTGAATGATCCAGGCAGATTTAGTATACAATGGCATGATTATCTAAATAAGACAGGTTCATTACAATATTAACTACTTTAATGAAATATTATAAAGCTGACAGTATTGATTAAAGTTATAATTCTTAAGTTAAATAGGTTTAAATGTTAAAATAGCTTTAATAAAGTTAGAAGAATAAAAGATACATGTAGTTCCAGTCTAAAAGCTATCAGTATCAAAGTATATAATTATTATAACTGAGAAGAATTCTCTAGAATAGATACAATCCAAAATTCTTTGATCTAAGAATAATGTCTAATATCAACATTTTGGGGTTGATGATTTAAATTCACTATCTGTAACTGAAGAAAGTAGGTATCTTTCTTCCCATTTCTCAATATTGTGTAGTTAAAGTAACCTTCCATTTTATACCTATTCTTGCATTATGATTGTAAAATATAGTTAGCTATTAATAATCTGATCTTGGTGGGAGGTTTTCAACATTTAAAAGAAAACTCCATAGGAGAAAAGAGTGCAGGGTGAAAATCATTTGAGTAAAATAAAAAATTTTACTATGTCATTTCTCTGTTAAACTGTCATTACTCTTTTCTTTACTGGTTAATCATTTGAAGCCAAAAAGGATCCGTAATGAAAATTTAGATTTTAAAGTCTTTGACAGGCTTATGTGGTTATCAGCTGGTAATGAACAGTATCCCAAAATGAAGACAGAGTTCCTCAGTACAGCAATCTAATTTGGCCCCTTCTCACGGAAGAAACACGGCTTTCTACCAACAGGAGAGACACAAAGAAGGGATGCTACAGCTGCTAAGACAAACCTGTAACACGCCAGTAACTGGAAGTCCTGACACCCATCATGCGTGAGGATCTGGTGGAGGACAGACACACCTCAGTGGCCAGTGTCTAGGCACTGAACTGACCCTGCCAGATCACAGCGAGTTTCAGTGAGGGGGGACCTGACCCAGCTCCTCAGTTGCTCCTCAGCACACCTACCCTCACCTGGGAAGTTCACGTGTTCCTCTTACGTCTCAGCCTCAGGCAACAGCACAAGGGACTGAGGGGCTTGTCTTTATCCCCTCAATTATCCGTCTTTTTAGAATTAACTAATGTTTTATTCTGGCCTAAATATGTAATAAATATAACAAATACATACCACTGAGTCGTCTCTGGAGTGCTTCTTCCTCGAGGGTAATGATATAAATCTGCTCATCCAGGTCTTCAAGAATCTAAATGTAAAGACCACACTATTGAATAATACATTACAAAAGCAGTGTTTATGAGAATATTTAGGCTACTTGGCCTATAATTTAGACAACCATTCAAATTAATAGGAATCTAAAATAAAAATGCTAAAACTATTCTATTTGCAAATTAAGTAAAAAGTCTTAGTACAGAACTAAGCAAATTGAAAGCTGATTCTCATAAAATCTACATACACCTAAATTGGGACTGTTTCAGTTTAAAGAATGAAAGAACTCTGCAACTCTCTCAAAGGCACACAAATGCAAGCATTCTAAACATCCAAAGAACTGAATGCAGTAATCTCTTCGTGCCCAAGCCAATTCTCTGGAGCTGGAAGAAGCAGATCACCCAGTCCAATAATGGTTTCTTATCTATTAATACATTAACCTGCATAATGTGTAGAACAAGAAATCCATAAATGAAATCGCTACCGTTCATACTTTCCATTTATATCATCTTCATATAACAAAAGATGTCCACAAATATTAAACACTGGGATTATGAAAATCACCCCCCAGACTGAACCCTAGAGACAGAGTGCTGAACACACACACTCACTACCAGAGCATACAACACTAGTAAAAACAACCACCAGAAAAACCCACTCATCAACAGCCAATTTATATGGGATATTCTTTGCACTGTCTTCATTGCTGATAAAACCTAAAAGCTTTATTATCACAGGTGGGAAATTTATTATCAGTTTGGCCACCTGATGAAAACAACTGACTCCTTAGAAAAAACCCTGATGCTGGGAAAAATTGGAGGTGGGAGGAGAAGGGGGCAACAGAGGATGAGATGGTTGGATGGCATCACCAACTCGATGGACATGAGTTTGGGTAAACTCCAGGAGTTGGTGTCGGACAGGGAAGCCTGGCAAGCTGCAGTCCATGGGGTGGCAAGGAATCAGACACAACTGAGCGACTGAACTGATCACAGCTGGCCTCCCTGAGCCAATCCTAAGTATCTTCCTAGCTCTGGGAAAACTCTGAAAGAAACCCAGAGCTGTTATTAATGTTGTGTCTTTCAACCCCAAACTACTTATTTCTCAGCAAAACAATAAACTGTGAGTTGATGGACAAAACAAAAGGATGGAAATCCTATATATTAATACAGATATACTTTCAGAACCCTGATGAGGCATTTTCAGAAAAAGGAGTTTCAATCATGCAATCCCTATCAAGTATCAAGCAATCCAATAATTCCCAGTATTTGAACAAATATTGATGGCCAAGAGCTGAAAACAAAATAAAATAATAAAATAAGAATATATAGTAAGAAACAAGTAATTGTAAGAGATGGCCATCTTGTGAACCCGGGAGGAACGGGAAGAAGGGGGGGCCTCCCGCAGCACCCGAGGCCCCAACACTCCAGTCTCTGGAGGAAGAACAGGTCCATGGAAGCCCCAGGGGGAGGCCGTGAATGGGGCCAGTGAGGGCTTCGCTGAGGACACGACACACTCGTGTGTCCATGCTAAGACCCACGTGGGGGCTGTAAATGGGGCTGAGTCATCCAAGGCAGACTTCGTGCATGGGGAGAGCATGGGCCACACCTCTGTGGGCCTCAATATGAAGTTCCTTTTCCACCAACGTTCTCACCACTTTCTACTGTTTGGACCACAATAGACACTTTTCACTGTTCTCAAGGTCTAAAACATACAAATGGGGCCTTCCCTGGTGGCTCAGCCAAAAAGAATCTGCTTGCCAAACAGAAGAACTGGGTTCAAGCCCTGGGCTGGGAAGATCCCTTGGAGAAGGAAATGGCAACCCACTCCAGTAATCTTACCGGGAAAATCCTATGGACAGAGGAGCCTGGTGGGCTACAGTCCGTGGGGTCACAAATGAGTCAGAAATGACTGAGCAACTAAAGAATACCACACACGAAGGATTTCTTCTCGCTGCGTAGCTGCCCACTGACGGCTCGCCACCACAGGGACGTGTTGGTGTGAGTGAGTGACAACGAGAAGCACAGGTGTCTCTGTGAGGGCTGGCGTGCTTCATCCCATCATTCCACAGCAACTGTGTGAAAAACAGACTGCTCTCACCCCACCCTGTAACATGCCACCAAACAAAGGTCCGGCAAAGGAAAGTTATCTGCCTTCAAAGCCTGTGCTCTTAGCCAGTTTGAGCTGATGGGGACCTAAATATGGATTGGACTTAAGTCCTTGACTTCAAACAGCTTATATTCTATGTTCAGGAAAGACATGAAAAAAAAAATTATAGAACTGAAATCAAAGTCATAAATGAAGCTAAAATAAAATGTTACAGAAGTTCGGAGGAAGAAAGATTCCCAGCTTCTGTTTGGGAAGAAAACAGTCTTCACAAATGTTTTTGATGGCAGTAGCATAGTACCTGGTAGCTTCATTTACCAAAAGGAAAAAAGGCATTCGGATCAGAGCAAACGACAAGCAGAACACCCGGGCGGGGAGGTAAAAGGTTCCCTCAGCAACAGAAGGGCGCGAACTCTTGTTCTTATTGTAGAACAAGCAGTGGCCCAGAGTCCCGACTCCGAGAAGAGCCTCTGGGTTCAAGCCCTGCCCCATCTTCTCAGATCTGTGATCTTATACAAGCTAACTGATCTCCCTGAACTGCAGATAATTCAAGCATAAAATAAGAACACCATCACCCAACTTACGGGCTTATCATCAGGATTAAAGGAAATTATGAAAAATGAAATTAAATGAAGTACTCAGTGCACACATACATCAAATACTTAATTACTAAATACATAAACATTATTACGAGATGTTAAGAATAAGAAAAGTCTGAAGATGTTATTAACAACAGACAAGTTTGGGAGAACATAAGTTTGGGGAGGGGAGATAAGATAAGTAGTTTGATTCTTTATCTGTTGGGTTTTCAACTCCATGGGGTATTCAATTATAGCATTTAAAATATACTGTAGTTTGTATTCATTATCTCTTTCTCACTAGAATTAGACATCTAGAAGTGAGGTGGAAGTGGCAGAATGCTCAGGAAAACAGAGCAGAGCCCATTAGCCCAAGGATAGAACTTGAAACATTTGCCTAGTTTAGGGGGCAGAAAGTAGAAACGGAGAGAGAGATCAAAAAAACAATTAGAGAATTAGTAAGAAACTAAATGAATGCCGTGTCACAAAACCTCTTTAAGAGGGAGGCAAATTTCAAGATTTAATAGCATGTGTATTATATATGAGCGTGTGCACATTTACATAGCAGGTAAAAAAACCTGTTTTGATTTTTTAAAAATATGAAGATTGCCATTAAAAAAAACTTTCAAAATTAAGCAAACATTTCCTAAAAGAATGTCTACTATGATATTCTCTGCTTCTTTCCCTTGATGAATCACCCTGACAGGAAAGAAAACATATAACCATGATAATTTAATAAGTACAACTAGTGAAACACAGACAAAGGGGAATATGGAAATGCAAAGCGAGAAGCTTCACTATCGTAGCTGAGAGAAGTGAGGCAGCCAGGGCTGGTATCAGAGCCAGGGCTTCAGACGCTGCCAGGTGGCCGAAGCAGGCAGGAGGCAGCGGCGAGAGCAAGGCCCTCGCCAGGCCTGAGAAAGGGGAAGAATCCAGCATACTCAGGCATAGCACGTCAGCTGGGAGACTGACCGGAATCACAGACACCAGGGAGGCCACAGCGGGAGGGGTGGCTACAGGTAAGCTCAGGGTGGACAGGGGTGAAAGGCCTTCTTACATGTGCATAGTTTACACTGGAGTATGTAGGCAATGATGATCCATGAAAATAATGGACGTGACAAACTCTCTAGATACAGGTAAGAATTATTTTCATATTGTTAAATACTTGACAAAATAGCTAGAAGCCAAAGTATGTGCGTGTGTGTACAGTCGCTTCAGTCATATCCAACTCTTTGTGACCCCATGGACTGTAGCTCACCAGGCTCTTCTGTCCATGGGATTTTACTGACAAAAGTACTGGAGTGGGTTGCCATTCCCTCCTCCAGGGGACGTTCCCAACCCAGGGATCGAACCGGCATCTCCTGTGTCTCCTGCAATGCAGGCAGATTCTTCATCACTGAGCCACTGTGGAAGCCCAGAAGCCAAAGCAACTTAAGGAAAAAATCATCAAAACTACTATCAACTGAAAATTATTTTAAAATGAATATACAGTATTTCTGATATTAAAGGGAAATGTATAATTCAATTAATCAAGATATAATGTGCAGACAAATTTTTAGGAAATAACTGCTTTATAATTCAAAGAATATATATAGTAAAGTTTGAAACATAAAAGAGTTACTATTTGATATAAGATCAGTTCAGTTCAGTTGCTCAGTCATGTCCAACTCTTTGTGACCCCATGAGATATAAGATAATGGACACTTAAAATACCTCTAAATATCTGTACATTTTGTCTTCAAATCTGTTAGAAGCATTTTTTACCTGTGTGCCTATACTTTGCATTTGAAGAGCAAAAACAAATTTGGTTGTCAAAGATGAGAAAGATGAAAACAATACAATAGCACTTTGGGGCATCAATATATAAAAATGTTCTGTTTCTGAATGCTAGTTTAGAACCTGAGAGATGTGCAAACGTGAAAGTGTTTATTTAACAGACGACATACTCACTGTTGGCTTCACCAGCAGCTGCCCCATGACAGTGAACATGCGGGAGAGGCCGACTGGAGTGCACACTGCAGAACAGAGAGCTTCCTTCAGAGTTAGGAGAGAAACTGCGGGTCCAAAATTAGCCAAACTCAGAGACTACTGCCGTGAGAAAACGCCTGTTTGAAGCCTAGGTTTTCTCGGCGTTCTGTCACAGGGCTCCTCAGTGTCACCACTAAAGAAGCTCTAGGGGCTGGCACATGGAGGGTGGGCTTTCTTGCACTTAAGGGAGACTTGTGAAGACCAAGGAGGGGCAGGAGATGCCAGACTCCAGCAGCTGAATAATAACAAGGGCTCTCACTTCAGAGAAATCAAAGAAAACCAACCAGAAAACAGGCTGCATTTCAAGTGTCAATACTAACTGAACTGGGTACCAGACAAGACTACCTGAAAGTGATGACGATAAACTGACATAGTTTTACCTACATTATCCACTTATAGTATCTCTGAGATGTGATGTGATGCTTTAAGTAAAACAAAACGTATTGTGAAGAAAAATAAAGACCACAAATTCATCAAACAGAATTTGACAATTACCATTTAAAGGCAGAAGGCAGTGTTGTGGCCAGGGCGGGGGTAGGGGCAGCAGGGAGAGTTGGGGAGCATGTCTGACTCTGTCTCTCCCTCCCTTTCTCTCTCCAACTCCGTGAAAGAGGCTTTCTTTAGAGAAAACCAAAGGTATCTTATTGTTTCAAGGTTTCAGTTTATCAAAATTTATCTTGAACATGCAAAAAAAGTTAAGGGCGTTGGCCTTTTTAAAAAATCTCCAAGTTGTTAAAAGAATCTCATCAGGAAACTTGCCCGTAATTTTCTAGAACACAGAACAACTCTGCTTTACCATCAATATTCTGTTAGAAAAATACTTACAGAGAAGTAACAAGCATCCCATCAATGATATACAGGAATATAAATAAGGCAGGTAGAACTCCCAGAGATCTGTTTAAAAATGTAAATATTTTAGTACATCCAAGATACTGTGCATTAAGACATAGACTGACTATAGATTAATGTATAGTAAACATCATAATTGCCTATTTCAGTCTACTAAACCATGTAATTTCTAAATTGTACAATAAAAAGATCTAAAACAGAAGAACAGGAAATAACTTTTGCAAAACCTGTTTAGAGGGAGAAAATAAGCCTCCATGGAATTTTAAGAACAGAAACCAATTAAACAAAGGGGGAAAAAAAAGTCTGAAAAGCTGCTTGCTCATTCTACATACAAGAAACACATAAACATTCATTTCTTTCCTTAAACATGTCAAAAGACTTTAATTCTGTAAATTAACAATATGGATTAACTATACAAGGATTATTGCATAACAGTATACAAAGAATTATTAAAATGTTTTAAAAAGTGACTGTGTAATTATATTCCAAACTGTAGTCTCCCTTAGAGAAACTGGTTTAAACAAGTCAATCCGCACCATATAAAGATTCCATGCTGGCAGCATCATTGTCAACGAGTGCTGAGGCTACCCACACGATCCCAAGAATAAGCAAGGCCAGGAGGATGAGCATGACCAGGGTTTCTAAAATTCGGGCTCGGATTCCCTGAAAAATACAACAAAGATTTAATTTTTTTATTTTATCACATGAACAATTAGTCTTCTGTCAATGTGAAAACAAAAATTCTTTGAAGGGGGAGGAAATTTATATTTCTCAGCAAGACAAAAAACACTAACTGTTTATTGTTTGTAATGTTCAGACTGACTTTTCTTTTGAAAATTATGTAAAACACCATTAAGCTTTGAAGAAAGTACCCAAAAAAATCTTTAAAAAAACATTTTGCAGAGCCATTTTAAACAATTACTTTCCTAACACTTTCCACCACAAGAGTAGATTAACGAATTTTTATTTGTGATTCTAATCAAGGGATTATAAAGCTAATTAAGGCATGCTGCCAAGCAGTTCAGTGAACACCCCACTTGGTGAGAGCACAGAGCCCCATCTACTGGAGAACGCCAGGAATCCTCCCGGCTCCCCACAGCCTCCAGCGCCCTCTAGTGGCCGGATAAAGGCCTCTTCACGGTGACCCAGCCTCAGAAAGCATGCGGACAGACAGTATCAATATTTATATCAGTTAAACATCATTCCTTTGTCCACATTAGATTGAATTTTTCACCAAATCCACTAGGATGGAATACAATAAATAATTATTGTGTACAATTTTAAATATATAAGACAAATTCTGACCTCAGGGGCAAACAAGAGGCCAACTTACATTTGAAACCTAGGGGACTAGGCAAAAAAGAAAAACTTCCTCATATTCTTAGAAAGTCATCAAATGACTGAATCTGTACTTAAATGTAAATATTCATATTGTTATTTTATACCATAATACACTATTTTACATCTAACATAATATTAAGTATACCCATGTTTCTCAAATCACGTAATATTTCCTTCCCTATTAAAAACAGTCTAAAGATATGAGCTATACATAAAATCTAAAATATGGACTTATTTCAATTTTGCTCTAAATGTCACTTTCTAATTTCTGATTTACAGAAACAGGTCGCAGTTAAATCACAGCTCCTCAAATTCAATAAGAAAGGAAACTTCATAAAGCCATGGCCAAGCGATCCCAGCCTGAAGTGATGACTCAGACTTACCTGACCACAGGGTGGCCCCTCACAGGTTAAAACGTATTTGGTAAAGAATCCACCTGCAATGTGGGAGACCTGGGTTCAATCTCTGGGTTGGGAAGATCTCCTGAAGAAGGGAAAGGCTACCCACTCCAGTATTCTGGCCTGGAGAATTCCATGGACTGTATAGTCCACGGGGTTGCAAAGAGTCGAACACGACTGAGCGACTTTCACTTCACTTCACTTCTTCAGAGTTAAGAGTCAGTGCCCCTTATGTGCTCAGAGCAAAGGAGGCTGGTGAACCAGAGTGACGGCAACCTGCATCTGACCTTACACACTAGCTCTCACAGTAGCTGTGACTCCAGTGAGAGAAAACAAGAACAGTCACAGAACAAACTACTGAAAAATACACTTCTACTTTTCAGAAGAACTCTCTGAGCCCACACTTCACGACTTTCAAACCATTTAGGATACCAAAACATGACCACTACCTTTTAGCACTGATTTCTTTTCCCCCTCTTCCTCTAAGCAAGAATCTTTTAATTACACCTTAAATATGATCTGGAAAGTCTATAAATAAAACAGATAAAAAGAGTAGGCTCTGGACTGTATTACAATCTCAGCTTCATCTCTTCCTGCCTCTGACTGTAGCCCAAATCCTGCCAGCCTCCAACTAGCCCACAGGAACATCCGAGCTCACAAAACACATAACACGTGTCGGAAGTGTCAAGATACATTAGCTAAACAGTAGTGTTACTCAGAACTATGAGATTTGATATCCAAAAACAAGGCATTTTACTACAATAATATGCTACAATTATTATAGCCAGCAATTACAATAACATAACATTAAGTTACAGTAAGTGCTGTAATGATAATAAATTTGGGGAATCAGTCACCGGTAAGACTTACATACCTCCTCTGACATTTTGGTAAGAACTGGTGGTGATTTAGTCGCTAAGTTGTGTCTAACTCTTGTGACCCCCATGGACAGTAGCCCACCAGGTTCCTCTGTCCATGGGATTTCCCAGCCAAGAATAGTGGAGTGGGTTGCCATTTCCTTCTATAGGAGATCTTCCAGATTCAGGGATCAAACCAGAGTCTCTTGAGTCTCCTGAGTCTGGCAGGTGGATTCTTTTACCAGCTGAGCCACCAGGGAAGCCCCTGGTGAGAACTGTTTCTTAGCAATTCAATTTGTTTTTCATCAAATCTGTTTCTCTGTGTTGGAAGGCAACACTCCGTGGTTCTCTCCCACATCTGAGCATCTATCTCACCAGCAGAGGTAGGCAGTTCTCATTCTAGACTGTCTTTTCAAGGATATCTACACAGCGAATGGCCTGGGAAGACAGAGACAGTGTCTCTGAAGCTGAAGCGGGTCTGCCTCCTTTATAGCATGAAGGAGGAGATCCCCCCACAGAGCAGAAGCCAGGCAGGTTTGCGGCAGGGTCCCCTCGGTGCAGGGCTCCGCAGCTGTGACAGAAGCCTCCTGCAGGGACAGCCTCCCCTGGGCCGCGTCGCCCCCATGGGGCCCGGGGCCTGGGGAGCTGGCAGGAACAGCGGGCTGCTGCACTTGCAGGCTGAGGAGTGAAGTCCCCTCTGTCGGGCCAGGAGTCTGTGTCTACAGTCAGTGTCTGTGAAGCTGGCCAACTGACCTGTCACCTTGCAAGTACCATAATGTCAGATCCCAGACATCTGAAATGTCTCAGTTTCAGACAACTTTGGGCGGCTTTCTGGGAAGAACAGACAAGGGGCCACACGGTTGGGTTCAGGGCCAGGATCGAGCCGTGAACCCTCTCACCCAGGCCTCAGACAGGCAGAAGTAAGCCCCCCGCCCGCCCCCCTGGCCCAACAGCTAGCGCACGAGGGGCTGACCCCTGGCCTGGTGCAGCTCCCTCTCCCCTGAGTGGAGCAGGAAGGGGTCTTCTCGTGACCATGAAAGAGCAAGCCCTGCAAGGCCAGCTGACAGGAACCGTCCTACACATACCACAGCGACAGGGAACTACTCTTCTTATACACTTGGTGCCCTGTCATATTTTCCAAAATTTTTAGAGTAGATGTCTATGACTTAAGATATAGGCAAACAGACTAATGTTGTCTTTAATTTTCAATATTTTCTTAAAATAATAAATGTCCAAGAGTCTGGAACCCGAAAGAATAACTTTTTTAAAATATCCAAGTTTGGTTTATGAGACAGACAGTAGAACAGGCTTATTAAGAGCCCCAACCAGAGTAGCAGACCACAGGGCTCAAATCCTGTCTCCATCCCTGACCCACTGTGTGACCTTGGCCAAGCGCCTAAACCCCGCTGTGCCTCAGTTTCCTCCCTTGTAGAATGAGTTTATTAAAGACACCCCTATACCATGGCTGATTCATGTCAATGTATGACAAAACCCACTGAAATGTTTTGAAGTAATTAGCCTCCAACTAATAAAAATAAATGAAAAAAATAAATAAAATAAAGACACCCCTACCTCATGGGTGGTTATCAGGACTATATGAGTGAATGTGTGCAACATGCTGAGTGCAAAGTCTGGTGTCATGACTCAAAACTGTTGCCTCTGTGTTTGGAATCTCCAAGACTTAGGAACTCACCTATCACTCATGTTTCTCAATTAAATGGAGACCACCTTTCACTGCAGCATGTTCCTCTTTTCCCGTCTACCACGTAGAACCTACAAGAAACAAGCCTGACTTCCTTGCTATGTGAGCACCCAGTTCACCAGAGCTTCTTATCGCATCCCCAGCCACCGGAGGACCCGAGAAGCTAACACCAAACCCTGTCTCCACTCTGCGGCTGCCCACGCATCTAACTGAACCCCGCATCTCTCGGGCCCACCTCTGAGACCTCACCCGGGGTAGTGGCCCCCTCAGTCCAGGACCTCTTCGTCTCCTGCCATCTCTCCACCCTCTAGCCTAGCTCTGGGTGTTCCTCCTCATCCTCTCGCCTCTTCTGAGCCTCCCAAGCCTTCCAACCAGTCTTGCTTTCACTGGTCTAAACCCCATAGTGAACTAGCACATTTTAGTGATAATTCAGTATCAATAATGTGCTAGTATTCCTGGCCCCTTTAACTTCCACCAGATCAGTTTAATTCCACCTGGAAGCTACAGCATTGATCAAGAAATTTATAGAATCAAGAGAAATTTTTGGTAATACCCTTCGAAGTGGGACCTCAATGTCATCCGGCAATCCTCATGCTGATCTGTGGCTAATAATTCCCTCAGAGACATGTAAATGTCTTCCTTGGCCTTGGTCCTAACCTCACACCCAGTATCCTTCTGTGACAGCTGACCTTACCTCTCCCTTAGTGAGACACAGCTGGCGACCTGCACAGCCCCTCGGCTCCCTTCCCCTCGTCCTTCATTTCTGTCCCCATTCCTATGTCTTTCATTCTGTAAAGGAAAGTATCTCAGATCCCTTTTCTCTGATGGCACAATCTTCAGTGTTCAGCCTTTCACAAGCTGTATCAGGGCTTCTCAAATACTAACACGTGCAGATTTATTGAGGGGCTTGTCAATCCCTGCGTACCAGCCCCTGTGGCTCCTCAGTCCATTCTTGTGAAGGTGGTCCCCCAGACAGACTGCTCCCTTCTCTCCTGGATGATCTTGCCTCCTCACGTGGCCAACAACCCTCAAGTTTATACCTTTAGTCTAAATCACACCACAGAGGCCAAGGTCCATAATCTTAATCACCACCTCACCTTAGATACCTCACAGCAACTTTCAACTGAACCCTAAAATCAAACTCATCATTTTATCCCCTAAACCTGCTCCTACTCAATGTCACATACCTCAATAAATGGCACCATTATCCACTTTGTTGTTTTTGCCAGACACTCTGGAAACATCCGTGTCACCTTCTTCCTGCTGCACCCCACCCCACCCCTCCCCACCACACACACACACACACAAACACCTGGACCCAGGTCCAGTCCAGCACAGAGTCCTTTCGATTCTCCCGTGTCACCT